GTTAGATAAAAATAACGATAATAATCTAAAGTTTACTTATTATTATAAGCACGAGACGCAGCAGGAATGAAACTGTTCGAAAACGTTCAGTTCTACACCTAGGTACTAATAAGTTGGGATAAGACCTCAGATTATAAGTTTGAAGACTTTTAGGCGGTACTAAGGCATTCAGTTTATGAGTGGGTTCCAACATCTTCGAAAAAAGTCGCTTGCAAAGAACAGTTCTACGTTCGTAAAGAGTCATCAAGTTAGCTTTAATCAAACATTCAGCATAGATAGTTCCAGGGAAAATAATTTTTTAAATTAAAAGGTAAGAGAACAATATCCTGTATTAGAACTATGGCCAATCAGATGCCAGTTTCATATGGATTTGGCCAGAGCCCCTCGTCGCGCTCGGTCGAACGCGCGTAATGGGTACGAGAATAGGCTGATCACAGATGCCTGCATGCGATAAATCTATGGGCCGGTTGTATAAAAACAACGGGCCACAGGCCGCCACAGGGTAAGGGACGCAGTAGTCAGTGGTTTTAATAAATTTGCTGATTAGTCTGATAAACCGCATGGGCAGATTTTAGTCAAAAATCCATGTTGTACCCTGAATAATCTAACATAACATACAAACTACAACAATTATAGTTTTAACTATTTTACATCTGTTCATCAACACTCTAATCTCATCATCTAAATAAGAAAAATCTCGAGGCAGAAGGCAGTTTGCCATCGTTCACAAAAGCTTTCTCAACGTCTTTAAAAGAAGGTAATTTACTCAAGTCTCCATATAAGCAGCCAGAGCTGGTTTAGATTCTAGCAATCTTTCCGATATTCTCTGCATGTCCTTGATTGTCACTGATTCTGCAAAAAGAAATCCTTTATTACATTAGAATACTGTATAATATATATGTATACGGCATGAGCAGCCGTGTTGTATAAGATTATTGTACAATAACAAGCCAACTAAGCCAAAGCTTTCATGAAAACGTATTCTTCGATAGTCTTGAAACCATGAAGGACATTTGGCGAGAAAAATGAACTTAATTCATCAGCAGGATTTTGCATCTGATACATTACAAGCTTCTTCATGGTCATAATTCACAAAAACAGGTACTTAGGCCATATAAAATAAATTCCTTGATTCTCATCACCGCCCGACGATATTTTGGTTTCCGCGTTGATATATTTTTGTATTTTGTTATAAAATATAAATTTACTGCCCGACCGAACATCTTCAGAGATTTAGTTATTTTTATATTTTATATTGGAATTTTTGCGATATAAAATTGTTTTACCGTTAATATTGCAACATGTTAAGGGATGCTTGGAATACTGAAGGAAAAAATGGGCTTATAGCCTTATTACGATTTGTGTGGACCCTTATGCATGTTCATTATTTAGCGCATGTGCAATTATCCACTTATATAGCGTTCTTCTATAATATATTTAAGGGCAAATATAAAAAGACCTCCCTCTCCAATTTTTTAAATTTTAAACTTTTTTTTTATATTTTGACATAAAATATAAAATATAAACCTCCCGCCTCCTGGGAGTTTTTAAAATTTAGCGATGAGAATCGAGGAATTTATTTTATATGGCCTTATACCAATTTTCTCGTACTGTTCCTGGGCGGAGTTTCGCATTCTAAGTTCCAGAATTTGTCCAAAAAGAACTAGTCAATTTTATCAATCAGCATTATAGCAATGCGATCCATTTCCAAGTGCAGCATTTTGACTGGTTCCCGAGCGGACCGCCCAAAGTAAAAAATATAATTATGTGACCTTATGTTAAGTTATGTCAAGTAACTCTATTTTGTGTCTAACCTTCCGAGTGGATAAACGCGAATGATGCAGCCTGCGAGCAGGCCTTTTTTCTTGGGTTTGAAGAAAACAAAATACACTGACACAAGTCACACAAAATACCACAATTTTAATCGATGAAAGTATTAATACATTATACACTGCGTATTGGTTTAATATTGTCGCAAACCTTTCTAGGCGTGCAGAGATTATTGCACGTGGCTTATTCTTATGTTTAATATATCAAAATGTATTTTTGCGCACTACAAATAATATAAAGTCTATAGTATAAACACGCATCTGCAGGCAAGTGAATCTGTTAAATATCATGTTCCGTTTGAAGAGTCACGCAGCCATCGGATCGCTTTCACAATTTCATCAACACTCGTACGAGATAGGAAAGAGAGTAAGACCTAAAACAAAGCAAACTATGGTTAAACTGGTTCAGTTATTAATTCAAAATCTAAGGTTGGGAATTCCTCTTGCTAAACCATTTGAAAAAATAGCTATATCCAGTATTATTTTAAATTCACCCTTCCAGCTTTAACAACGTCACATACACGAAATCGAGGCTCTATATGACGTACTTTCCAAAAGGGTGTATTAGTACTGTTTCTACAACACGACACTTGCCTGTTTTTCAACTGGAATATCCTGTTGATCTTGGTATTCCCATATTCCAAATGTCAGAGACAATGTCATGCGTTCAAACCAACTATAATGAAAATAATTAACGCTTATTAGTATAGTAATCGAAGTTCACGCTAAACGAATAAAAATACATAACCTTCTATATACGAGGCCTGAATTACAGTAGCTTGACTAACTACTGAAATTTGTGATTGACATCACACTAATCACACAAACAGCAATTTAGTTAAGGAAAAATATTTCAATACCGTTTAACATTGTCCAATGAACTACTCGCTTGGTTATCCACCATGCACAAGTCTGGTGCCCAAAGCAACATCTGACAAGCAGTAGCAGCCAATGAAATGTTAGGTCTGTCGTTTGGATGTCTTTGTAGGAGCTCTTTGATAAGAACACGAACAGACTTTGGCGCCCTAAACACAAAAAAATATAGTTCAGTTCTCCGATCACAGCAAAGGGTAGCTTGCGTAGCGGCGCTAGGGGGGGGGGAGGGGGAGTCACAGAGAAGAAAGGTATATATACTAATGTCTGTTCACCAACATTCTCTAAGGTAGTAAGGATGAATACAACATCGTACAGTACAACATACAATGCATACCCCTTCAATTCAGGGAGATCGCCAATATTGTAAGATTCTTTATCCACAGCCTGGTTTTGAAATGGATGTTTCTGACCGAAAATCTCATACGCAATTGCACCCGCGGCCCACTCTAGAACAGATCGTATGAAATGAAAATAATTAAGAAACAGGCTTGATTTCATTAAACACTATATCGTGCAGCAGCTGGTGATGAACCTGCAGTTATCAGAATGAGAAAATACTGTTAGTTTTTTTCATTGTATGACTTGTGTTTGGAGGCCAATAAACAGAATTCAGAGATGTAGTTTAATTCTAATCTTGCTTCTATTATTGACCACTATAGCTGTTCCGTGAAAGCCACCACACGCAATCAATTTTTGGGAGAAAAATCTCGTGTACGAATGAACAACACGTACCATCAGATTTACTGTAGTCAATTATCTGCCCAGGACCAGGTTCGGCACTAACCACCTGAAGAATTTAAAAAATATCTATCTCAAGTTTTAGCGTTAAATGCAAAGTAAATACGAACTAAAAAATACTTAAATTTATTTCCTACCTCAGGTGCCATCAGTTCAGCATTTCCACCTTTGCTTGTCTCGTCAGTTTCAAACGGCATTTTTAAACCAAGACGTTTCTCAGCTAGACAGCACCCCAAGTCAGTTATAACCAAATGAGGCATTCCATTTGCGCTTTCATTGACCAAAATATTATCACTTTTCAGATCGCGATGTGCCACTCCATTGATATTAAGATGACGCAAGCCTTCAAGTAGTTGCGCCAATAATGCTAATGAGGTCTTGGTGTGGAGATTGTCTTTATGTTTTGCAATGTACTCGTGAAGTGTTCCTGAAAATCTGGCGATGTGAAACAGATGGATATAAATATGAGAAGGTATTGTAGACTTGGATTGACATTCAGTAATTATAGTTATATTTTATCTTAACACTGTCTAATATATTCAAACGCACTTTACACGTACTTTGGCATGACATAAAAGATAGTTCTGTTTCGTCCATAACCATCCCGATACAAACGCGATGGCAAAGCTGCTAGATAGCTGTTCACTGCATCAGAAAGTACTGGAATGTTGTCAGCAAAATGCCCCAGAATTTTCATCACATTAAAATGACTTGGAAGTCTTGTATATCTTGACGTATCTGCATTAGAATAAGTATAAAGTGTTAATCCAAGAAATATCAGAAATCCAAGATATGGATTAAAACAACACTTCAGATTTATGAAATAATCTGATTTAGACTGATAAATCTGTTGTGCGCTCATCCATACTAAACTAGGTACTTGTGCACAGCAGGGAATTCTAGAAAACCCTGTACATGGACATGGTGCAGCGTATCTGTGAAAGGGCGTATATGGTTGCTTGCACATTTTTTACCTGTAAAATTGTTACATACAGTACTTATACCTTTCATTGTTGGTATTTCCCCATTCCTTGGTAACACTGCAAGTTCTTTAGAGAAGGCCTAACAATCAAATATTAACATTCCAATAAACTAATATTTACTAGTCATTCACACACAATTTATCATATCCATTGAAAACATACAGTTATGGCATTCTTCTATATATTAAGCTTAAAACAAATTGCTTACTTTCTCCAGTGATACACTTTGAGAGCTTGCACTGTAGTTGAACAATAGTTTCAGAGCACACTGAGAAAAACATAAATGATGAATTATAACCAATACACATCTTGGTTTGTAGTCTGCAAGCAGGCTCGCAGGCTACTTGGTTTATGGACCTGAAATCCTAACATTTTGTAAAAATTGATTACTCACAGCAATCATGTCAGATTATGATGTCACAATATGATGTCATCATGACACCATGTTATGATGACATCATCTTGATGGTGCAGATAATGACATCATCATGACATCATATTATGACATCATTATGACATTTTTGAAGACTAGTAAATGAATATTGCTTCAAACATTCATAATAACAGCTACCAGATTATCATGAATTTCTGCAGCATAAACAGCTGAATTGCAAGACGCTTTGCCAAGACGCTCCATGATGTTATAATCCTTCAATTTCTTTCCAGTATGATTCACCGATTTCTCAGGAATGTTCTGAAAAAGATAATTTATCAAAATAATCCACTAAGAATCTCTTGTGTTGTACATTTTCATGTTATCAAATGCAGATACAGCATTTGTAGGAGAACAACAATGGTTACCTTTGCTCTGCTTTGTAACATATCTTGCAGCCAACTGTGCTGTTGCTCTTCTTCAGGTGAACATGTTGCTGAAATTTCATTCTCTTTTACTCCTAATTATCACAAGAAAATAGCTATTTATTTACACACTACAGTTTCATTATCCATTCAACCTTATAATTTATAACCTCACTGATTGGAAGTAGTGACCAACCACATTCATGGTAGTTTTAGCTCCTTATCACCAATTCTTTATTTAAAAAACAATATAGCTTAACTTTATGCAAACAGCCAGCACTGTTCTTAGTTCTTACCCATATATGTAAATCCAACAAATGCCAAAAACAGGGGGGTTGGATTTCTTCTGTTGCCCACCATTCGTTGGATTGGGTTACCTGTAAATTATAGTGTGTTTAAATATCTAAATTTAATTTCTATCTAATAAAGAATGTGATTTCCATAAAGAATGATAGCTTATTTGCACTTACATTTAAATCGAGCAGCTCTTGAGGCTTTTTGTAGCCAGTGAGCAAAGAAAAAATTTCTCACATTTAGCGGCTGCAGTACTTGATCAGGAATAGCTTTTAGTACAATAGCATTTTGAACACTTGAAGTGGACCGAGGTGCCACAGAAATGCCTAAAAATATGATTGATATATACCAGTCAAGCCTACATGTTCTGTAGTCCGGGGTAGTCAACTGTTAACAATTTGTTACAAGGTTGCATGATGGTAACAGACTTGCCACAAGTTGTTGCAACAACTTGAAGATTAATACAGTCTGCTTTGTAACAAGTTGCTACGAGCTCGTTGCCATCAACTTGTTATGTGCATAGGATATATCAGACTTGTTGCATGCAGACAACATCAGACTTGTTGCAAGCGAGTATGTTGGCCTCGTCAACTTTGTTAATTGTTACAAAAATAAACAATTTACTTCGTCGATAAGCTGCGAGTCTTCTAGACATGCTGTATATGATATCATGTTTTTGATGTCATGTGTATTGAGTGCTTAGACAGGTACAATAAACTATAAACTCTTCTTTTTCTTATAATTCGTAATTAAAGTTGGTCATTTTTCAAACTCTGTATCAAAATTAAAACAGTACATACCCTCTGTTATTATACGCCTGACAAAGCGGAATCCTGTTAATACAGCCCGACGAAGCATCGTTTCCACTTAAAGTACACTACATTTTGGTGTAAAACAAAGATAAGCTCTTACTTTCAATTCAATTCAAGACAGATCAAAATCTGCAATTTTTTCGACGAAATGCTACATCATGTTTACATAATATTTACATTTTTCAAGACCACAGATGCCCCAAGACCTAATAATTTATTTTCCACTGATCTATAATTAATCTTACACTGGATGGTTACAAAGACTAATTAATATTCAAGATTCTTATTTGTACCATTCAGACAACTCAAAATATGTTAGATTTGCACATGTGACACTTTATCAAAGTTTTGAATATCTTGGAAAGTCTTTGGTCATATGGTACCAGCAAAATGTAGGTACGCAGATAGCGAGAGTACCATGTTTATATATTGGCATGTACCTTCGTGGTACTTGGCCGAAAAGACAGAAGTACCAGACAGTAAAATTGTTTTATTTTATATTGTTTACAAACTACAACAATTATACAGTAACTATTTTACATCTTTTCATCAACACTCTATCATCTAAATAAGAAAAATCTCGAGGCAGAAGGCAGTTTGCCATCGTTCACAAAAGCTTTCTCAACGTCTTTAAATGAAGGTAATTTACTCAAGTCTCCATAAGCAGCCAGGGCTGGTTTAGATTCTAGCAATCTTTCCGATATTCTCCGCATGTCTTTGATTGTGACTGATTCTGAAATTACAAAAAGAAATCCTTCATTACATTACATTAGAATACTGTAATATATAGAGAATAGTTCAGAATAATACATGGGTGCGCGGATAAATCTGGTATTTCCAAGCACCCATGTACTTTCTGTTTATTATATAAACAAAATTGAAAAACAATAAAACATCCGTGGCAATGCGTTTTACAACAAGTTCTCTGATTGGTCAAACATATGTCCTACGCGCTTTTTGATTGGCTTGCAAAAATGATATTTTCACACGTAAAAATATTGTATTTTGTATGTGTGCTTAAATGCGATTTTTCTCAGTGGCATATTTATGTAATATATATGTATACGGCATGAGCAGCGGTGTTGTACAAGATTATTGTATAATCACGGAAATGGTGAAAGAAATGATGGGAAAATATTCTTCAATATTCTTAAAGCCATGATATATACAAGCCCCATGCATCATAACCGTAATTCACAAAAAAATTTTTTTACCAATTTTCTCGTACAGTTCCTGCGCGGAGTTTCGCATTCCAAGTCCCAGAATTTGTCTAAAAAGAACAAAAATAATGGAACCAGTCAAATTTATCAGTTAGCAAAATCTGTGCACCGTTCATGGATGGATATTTAAGACTAACAGGATATAGCTAACCTTCCAATATCTTCAAACATGACAATACGCGACTCTAAGTTCATCATTAACATTGATTGTAGTTGTTTCTTGGCTCGCGACACCTCCTCCTTGAAAAGGAAATTGATAATTTATGATATCAATGTCCAGAACAAGATTAGCTATAGTTAATAAACTGGCGTGTTTTTGTGAATACTTGACCTTCTTTAAATAAAGTTTATTATTATCATTTCTTCATTTCTCGCGCTATTTCTCAAATGGATTTTTCACAAAAACAAAGACAACATTTAAACATAAAAGACAAATAGGGGGAGCAAGAAGGAAAGTTGTAAACAGGAAAGTCTGGCGTAAAAACAGAATTCTCAGTAACTATCAATCCTTGGATTCAACAAAACGCAACTCACATCACTAAATTCTCCACGTATCAAGTTAAAATATTCATATAGGAGTATCTGAACAAGATTGGAAATCTACAGAAAAAAACAAACAAATGCTTAAATATCTACATAAAAATCCACGAAGCTCCCATGGAAAGTTAAGCCCTCAGTAAAAGTCAGCATAAACCAGTGATTCAACCGTTACCAGGCGGCAGATGGGGAGTAATATCTACTATAGTAACTTCGTGGTCGAAATGGTTCATTGCTTTGAAATGTCACTGTTCTCCATTTCATCCGGTCACTCATTGGTCACTCGGAGATACTTGTGACGTTGCGACTATTCCCAATCCTAAAGCAATTACAAAGTTTCGACTTCGACGCACCTGATTGGGATGCGAGCTTGCATTGATGCAAAATATCCCACTGTCCATGTAACTGTGATTGAATGCCGTACACGCGTAGATCCAGTGATAGCGATTCAGAACATTCAAATACAGTCTTGAATACATGCCTTTCCCGGGCCCCCCAGCAGAGAAGGAACCCCCTCCTCCCATGAGGGCGTTCAGAACAGCAAAAGCGAAGAACTCTGGTTCATTAAAAGATGCACTTTCCAAAGCAAGTGAAACATGAGCTAGATCTGGGAGTGGGGTAGGTCCGATGTTTATTTGTGGATCTGTGCGATGATCCTAAAGGGAAAATAAAATCAATTAAAGTAACATTGTTTATACTAGATAGTTCTGTTTTCCTTATATAGCATAACACTAGACTGCCTTTGCTAGACTGGTTTATACTGGATAGCTCTATCAGTTCTCAACTGTTCTCCCTGGAGGTCCAGTAAAAGCAATGTCTACCTGGAGAAAATTAGTTATTCAAGAGGTGACAGAAGTGGAAGGCATGCACGGTATAACCAATGTACCAGCAATAAAATGAATACAATATACATACTGTGATCACTCCTCCAGTAAACTGTGCGACAGATTTATCAGGCAACGCTTCGTTGTCTTGGCTCCATGTTGTTCTTGGGTTGACAAAATATTTCCTGGCCAGCTCAACAACTTCCTCATGGTTCACATTTACTGCAGCAATAACCATTCTTGATGGGTCATAATACCGCGACATATAGTCCTTAATAACTGACGCATTTATGTCGGCGAGATTTTCCCGAGGGCATAGTTTGCGTAACCCTAATGTGTTATTTCGATAGCCCGCCTAAAATGATGAAAAGATTAACGAAATAATGATTTTATCGCCAAAAATTCATCACTTTCAATAATCTAAATTTCCAATACTTTACGCATTCTCAAACATTTGTCAAAAGTATAAGAAGTACACTCAGAGTAATATCACAAGCATCTTATTCACCTGAGTACATTACACCAAGACAGCAAATATCATGATTATTAGATTACATTGATATCGAAGGAACTAGATTCTGTTCCGAAATATCACTTATTCGAACCGACCTGACCGCGTAGCTCAGTTGGCAGAGCATTGGGCTAGTATTCCAAAGGTCGTAGGTTCGATTCCCACCGTGGCCATGCAGGCATATTTTTCAAGCCTGCCCGGTGTGGATATACACTCAGAGTAACATCACAAGCATCAAAGTATAAGAACTTTGTTATTAAAAATGGGGTATAAAAATTTTCTGTTCATGATTAGCACGCGCATTTTCAACTGTGGCACTGTGCGCATTACTTCCCAATACGTAGTCTTGTTATCGAGGTTTTCAGGGCGATAAACAGATCTTACCAATAGAAAGCCTTGTCAAAATAAATGCGCATTAAATTGCTAAAGCTTTCAGTTCCAATTTGGAAATTGTGTACTTCCAAGAGGAATATAGACAAACCAAATGACCAAATACATCACCGTTCACCACAGTATGTTTGTTGGGATACACTAGTTGGAATTAAACACAAGGATTGTCTGACTGATTTTACAAGCAGCTGTCAAATGACAGTCAATACTTACTGCATGTATTAAATCTGTTAAAATAGGTTCAGGGTCTGGACTCAACTCCAAATTTTCCAGTTCAAATTCAACGACCTCTTTTTGTCTTGACACCTAAATATATTGGGTATGTTTTATTTAATCCAACTTAAGTCCGTTTCTCATTAGGATTTGTTTTCAATCATCAGTGGAGGACAATGATTTGTCTTGAAGAACTTGGTCAAAGAAAAGATAAAGTTCATCTCATCATTCATGGGTTTATAAACACTGCAAACCAATGGATCATCTGCATGGCAAGACGAAACAGGTGTATAGCACACCTACTTGATCAGATGAACCTTTCCATCTTTGTCTCATTTAATACAAATGATTATTAATTTAATTACAAGAATGTATCTCTATCTAAGTAACACAAAATTTATATTTATAACCAGGTCAAGACAAGTGCTTTTGCTTACAAGATCGTCGTCAATATTTTGTCTAAAAATTCCATCAGATAAAATATTCATAACTGTGTGTAAACCTTCAGTAAATGTAGATGTTGCATACACTATAGCATCCCTGAAATATAGAAGAATAAATCTTGGCTAAAGAAACCAGTAGAATGCACATTGAGAATGCACAACTGCCTAAAATATTAAGCAGAATTAATCCTTGCAAGCAGAATTATTTTTCAGATAGATCTCTCTCAATATATCTGCAGCCCTCTGAACAGTTTTAAGGCGCGTTTTCTTCTTCTGATGGATGTAAACAAGTGGATGAGTTATGAATGTTCAGATGATGACTGATGATGTTAAACATACTTGACACATTCACAATTCATCTACTTGTTCACATCCATCAGAAGAAGAAAATCGTACCTGAAATCGCAGCAAAAATTACAAGTGTAAACAGGCCTTAAACATTTTACCTAAATGACTGACAATCAGCATTCCCACCATGCTTTTCAAGCTCATTCAAGATTTCTTCATTTGATTTAAACTGTTCGGTATTCTAAATATTTAAATTAGAAAGTACTATAGACTACACCCCTTGTGATCTCCAGCCACCTATGGTGGACAATCTAAGAGTTTCTTTATTTCATGAAAATTTCATGCAAAAAACTAAATATTCTAGACTTGAAAAATACAATCATATAGGCCATCCAGCAGGAATTGAACCTGCGGTCCTGCAATTCCTGTGAAGCACTCTACCATTGAGCTATAAAGTCTGGACTCTTCATATGGCTTACTTTAAAAGCTATTTTCTCAATAACATGAGACACTCCACTGGGATGATCAACTTCATATCGAGAACCAGCATCAATGAGAACTGCATGTAAATACAAGAAACTATATACTCAAAAATGTTTGGGCTATAAATGGGTTAAATTAACAAATGATTTTAAGATTTATCGAGTTGTGATACTATATATCTTTTTAATAATATATTTGAGTATATTTGTACATCTATCTTATCTATTATTCATCAAAATATTTCGCTATCTGCATGGTTCATCAACAGGGGTGCAAATAAATATTTGACTTGACAGGACATTTGTCTGATCACTTTTAATTTTGGTTGGACATAACTTGAATTTGGTCGGACAAAAACCAACACCACTAAATTAAATTTGGTCGGACATTATATATACGTCATTATATATACACATCACAAGATATATATAAGTCACGAGACAAGTATTGTATTAGCCATTCCAGCGCAACGTAAAGTAAAATGCTAGAATGCCTCGTAAATTTTATTGCAAAATGCAAATTGAGTGAATTTGCAATCAGATTTTGTCACAGCAAAAAAATGTATGTGACAATTTTTTTTTGTGATCTGACCAATGTCCGATCAAAATTACTTTTGCTCGGACATTTGCCAAATTTAGTCGGACATTGTCCGTTGTCCAACAGTAATTTGCAGGCCTGATCAACCAAGGTGCATATTCCATGTAAACTCCATGACGGAGATATGCCAACATTTGCCCTTGATCATGCTAATATTTCAAAAAAGTTTACTTTTGTGGACTAAAATCCATGTCAAAATAGACAGTTCTGCGTGCTCTTAAGACTGTGAAGTAATCTCTAAGAGTGCACCCTGGGTTACCACAACCATTAGTTACCAGTGTGGAAAGTTGGTTTGTTTGAATTATTCCACTGGCAATATAGGTTGGGGATGCATATTCATATATTTGTGTTCTGCCCTACTGATTCCTTTTGAAAGCGATTGTTTTTACATATGTGAACATGAAAATATGAATATGCACCCCCATCGCTGCCCCTCCACCAATTGTCCCATCTAGTTAATATGACCCTGATCGGCTTACTGTAGTTTGTGAAACTGTAGTTTACGAAACGAAACGAAATCTGCAGTTTGCGAAATCTGCAGTTTGCAAAATCTGTAATTTGCGAAATCTGTAATTTGCGAAATCTGCAGTTTGCGAAATCTGTAATTTGCGAAATATCTGTAGTTTAGGGTAAAATAAAAATGTTCACATGTTCCGAGGGCGAGGCGTCAACAGTACAATTAAATTCTGTGCAAGTTAACCTAGTTATAATTAAGAACCTACCTGACTACACGAAGTCATAATTGCGATAAAATGTTATCACAATAAATTGCTTTACTTGTATTAGTTATATTTCAGTGGCAGTGTCAAATAAACTTCTTTATATAATTATATGTCTGAGACTGCAAAATGCAAAAGTTTAAGATTGAAAATACACCATTGCCAGCAAATTGATTGGAAATTTTGCCCTGACTATGGTATTTTCCCGGAAATTCTTCAGATGCATGGTCAAGTGGATCGCAGCCGCGAGGTTTGACATAAAAATGTTGGTGATCGCATCGAAAACTTTCGAAAAGGTAAACATTTTTTTTACTTTCTGCTATATGTTTTGGCAAACTGCAAATTTGAATAGCAATCTATCTAGAGATTTCGCAAACTGCAGATTTCGCAAACTGCAGATTTCGCAAACTGCAGATTTCGCAAACTGCAGATTTCGCAAATTACAGTTTCGCAAAGTGCAGATTCGTTTCGTTTCGTTTTGTGAACTACAGTAAGCCACCCTGATCATGCTATCCTAGCTAGTTCGTCTAGATAGCATATCATGTGTTTAAACTATGACAAATGTTTGTTGTGATGTTTTATACTTCTTGACAGACAATCTGTTTCTATGAATGAATGTGCGCAACTAGATATTACGTCATAATGTCTCAATCAATTCCATGGTTGCCCAACACCCCCCCGGGCGTTTGTCAGGCATTCTCAACTGTACTTGTTCCCAGGGTCGGGCATCTGCTTTCTGCAGGTTAGCCCCGGGGTGGGGAATTTGCTCGAGGCTAAAAAGTCGAACTGTTTATCGCTTGTTTCGCCATTTAGCCGTACTTTAGTGCGCATGTTTACATGTGCATGCGTATTGCAAATTAATCATGGCGGACATACACACAAAGACTTTTTTCTTGTCCATCCTGTTGATACATTGACTTACTTCCTCAGTTTGATATTGCTATATAAAGTTTTGAGACTTCAATATTTTAATTAAAAACGTTTTGAAACGAAATGGCTACAGAATCGATTTTAAATACAGATATATTGATACGTGATAGAGCTTGCATTCGATTTTTTGGATCAGAAATCCTCAGTCTATCAGAAATCCTTTGGCCCCCAATGGTGGGGCATTTGTGTCAATGTAAGTCCCCAAGGGTGGGGATTTTGTTGCATTATTTGCACCCCATAGTGGGGCATTTGCAACGTTTTTCCGCTAAAATAACAAATGCCCGACAAACGCCCGGGGAGGGGTTGGGCACCCATGGAATTGATTGAGACATAAGTTTGTTAGATTGCACAACACGTAAATCAGATGAAGAAATAAACGTCGATACAAATGAAGCGCACAAACCTCCGACGGTAGAAAACTGTCCAAAACTCTCCTCTGATGCAACTTTCAAGCCATTCTCTAACGTAGTCATTCTGGTTACATACGCCCCTCCTACAGGAGCGCCGGGTGAACTAGGGGGTCTTACCCCCACATTTGGCAACGGCTCGCTGAGTGGCACCTCCCTAGATTCACTGGAATAACACTTCTTCAACCTACGACTACATTGTTGTTTATCAATCAGTGATTTTATAACTTTAGGACGTGAAATATCGCCAAAATACTTCAAACTGTAAATTCGGCTTGAATAAGCGGCCATATTGGAATAATTCGAGAACGTATAGAAAGTAAGTTGTTATTATAGGATAAAGTTGAACATGCATAGCAATATCCCGTTTCATACCGTATTATCAAGCTATATTTCCATTTATCAACACCCGATGATCTCTATATGTAACTGGAGATGGTCGATCGACCTTTTCTACAAAAGCGCAGACATTTTATCGTAGTAGAACTGGAGTGATGGTTAATGGACCATTTTAACAACAGTGTAGCCATTCTTAAATCTGGATGCATTGTGTTTATATACCACGAGTGATGATAGTGTAGTCAAAGTCAGCTTCAAATGGTAGTGAGCAATGTCATTTACCATGTACCAGTATTTGCCACCAAACACAAGGTCAATACATAAAGTAAACAATGAGTCACTCTGGTAACTGTTTTTGTTGGTAAAGTGACTATTCACTGTCACCCTTAGTAAAACCCATAGACAGATTTGGAACGAGGTTGACGGATCTGGAAGTGTTTAATGAATTTGGATCGGATCTACCCTGGATTCCAGAGCCTTCGACAGTAAATAATAAATTGAAATGTCGCGAAGGCTCTGGTTCAACGGGGCAATTCTTTGATTAAGCCGCGCCAATCACAAAACAGAATTAGTGGTTTTAGTACAGAATCTGTACTAAAACCACTAATTCTGTTTTGTGATTGGCGCGGCTTAATCAAAGAATCGCCCCGTTGAACCAGAGCCTTCGCGACATTTCAATTTATTATTTACTATCGAAGGCTCTGGAATCCAGGGTAGATCGGATCCTGAATTTGCCTTTTTCAAAATGTTCCTCAAAAGTGCGTAAAAACGGTGGAAAATTTAAAACGTAAAAACGCCATTAATCCCATTTCCATCACTGATGTTACGTCTTTTAATCAATTTCTTAAGTGGTTTCCTTTTTGGATTTTTTTTCAGTAATTTGGTTAGGGTTGCGGTTTAGGGGTTGATGGTCATGAATGAGTAGGGTTTGTTACATAGCCATTCAACACCTCTTCCATCTTCCGAAAATGACGTCACGTCAGAGTATGCTCGACTGTATTTATGATGTCTCAAATGACAGATAAGAAAATATGATACAATGTGAAAAATTGAAAATGCCCTTCAATTTTCTTGCTAGGAAGCTGAGGACTGAGGTCACTTTTTTCCAGATCGTGACCATCTTGAATCATGACCCCACAATCGTCATGCCGCAACTATGATTTATTTGCATCAAACGCAGCGAAAACCAGATTGTTAGTTAAATTATTTATTTTTCATTACTTCCCATTACATGATTGAATATTTGGAAACACAAAGAACAAAGTATACAATAATATGAGTAACTAGAAAAATAACTTTAACATTATAGCAATATATCCCTAGTCTCGCCCGTCCTGGGGCCGGTTGTATAAAAAAGTGATTAAAGTTAAACATAGTTAAGTGGAAATGTCATCCAATAATAGGCTATTTGAGAGTTAATCACTATTTAACTACAAAATAGCGATTAAAAAAGTGATTAAGAGTTTTATACAACCGGCCCTTGACAGTTCAAGCAATGAAAAATTATCTCATTTCCATTACTTTCTATTGCCAATCTACTGGATAATGCTTAGAGAAATCAACCTAATGTACAAATTATATACCAACCATTACGCCTTACGCACTAATTACAACAATATTTTTTTCAGTTTTTTTTTGTATAAAAGTCTATATTACATTTTACAACATTTTACTTACGATACAGCGATTCATACAACTCTAATACAACACAACGTATGATATAAATTGTCACAAGCTTGGAAAATGTCGTTCAACCAAAATAAATACAAAAAAATATACCACAACTACTACAAATTCCCCACTTTGACGTTCACCTATAATATATGGCGTAAGCCATTGACTATACCAATTCCTTACGAGTTAAAATTGAAGTATAAAACGGAAAATAGATTTGACATTTTGCCAAGATTGTAAAAATTCACTAACTTACAAACTACAACTATCACATTGTGCAAAACATATACAACCTTACTGAAACTTCATATGTTCCCCAATGTATTAAAATCGTACATGTAAATACTTAGTGCCAATATTTATGCAATTATTTTTTCCGTTTTTATTCTCTTATCAACTTTTTTTCCTGTTTTTCTTTATAAACTATTTTTTTATTGTTTGCCTATTTTACATTTTTTTTATAAATTATAATAATTTTTAAACAACCTATATAAACGAACCAATGAAGCACGCTCCTCGGTGACCAACATGCTGGATAAATCCTTGGGATTCAGAACCTTCTAGTGTCCAATTCCACTAGACTTTTTATTTCAGTCAATTTTCTGTTTATAACTGATCGTATTTTTAACTGTTTTCCTAAATTTTTATTTCTATAACAAGTTACTATAATTGGTCGGCTTACTTGTACTAGTTACTTTATCAGACACAACAATATGAAAGTATATATATACGACCCCCTCGCAAGAACAATGTAAGGAATGCCATTTCTACTGTATGTTAAATAATCAAACTTTCCTCCACCACTAAACCAATGTTCGTTCAAAACACTCTATCTGCGTAAGAATTAGCTTGACTTGTGTTGGGCTGACCTGCAGCACCTCTGGGTCGATTAGCGGCCGCCATACCACCAGGTCTGCGTGGTGGGGCAAGATACTCGAACATGGATGTATTATGGCGTGCTAAGGTACGAGATATATCACACGGCATTGGGTCTGTCCAGAAGAAGTCGTGGTTAAGCGCCGCATCACTATCGAGCCTTTGTTTCGGATCAAGTGACAACATCTTATCAATCAGATCCAATGCATTCGCATCACCGACGTAAGTTTTAAGTCTCTCCTTCACACGACGCTTCAATCCCTGAGCCAAGGTCATCTTCTCGTACAGTTCCATCTGCTCGACGCCCGGCCACACCTCGGGGCAAATTGACCCACACAGATGGCTGATTAACGTAAGTTGATGTGGTTCTGTGCTACCTTGCATTATAGGGGTACGAGTCCACATCTCAGCAATAATACAGCCCGCGCCCCAAATATCAATAGGTGGACCATAATCGCGTTCTCCAAGGAGTAACTCTGGCGGTCGACACCAGAGTGTAACGACACGGTTAGTGTAACGCTGCTTCTCTTCGCTGATGTGTATCGCTCTTGCAAGCCCAAAATCTGCAAGTTTCAGCACCCCTGCTTTGGTGATTAAAACATTCGAAGCTTTCATGTCTCTGTGTAATATTTTGTTACTGTGGATGAAGTACAAGGCATTCATTAACATCTGAGCAATTTTCTTAATCTCACCAAGGTTAAACTTTACTTGGTGATTGCTGAGCAAGCCAGCTAAATCATGTTCACAGAATTCCAGCACTAAATAGATGCTTGCTTTGTTGCGGTTGTATGGCGAAGCTGAAAAAAGATTGAAAATTAGATCCATGTCATAGATCATGAATATTTCAGGATATGTTAATGCAGAGCTCATGTATGACATCTGGAAGACATGAACTGCTACTCAGAAAGGGGAATAATGGAACACTCCAGTTACCTTCATTATATAGTGCAATTTTTCTATGGCTCATTGGATGCAGTGGGTCTACATAATGATGGCTCTGAGTTGAAAAACTGTGCCATCATCATGTTTAAAGTTGATAAAATGCATGAATTTATTGTGTGTTTAATTAAATACAGCTTTGAATTTGTGATCTCCCCAATCGACTCTAAGCTCATTTAGTAGAGAGTTGTAGGGCATCAGACCACTTCAGTGAATATGCATGTTCATCAATGGCTCAAGGTCCTCCCTGGAGGTCCAGTAGAGTAAACCTTTTTTGATTAGGTGTTACCACAGGAAGGAACATAAACTAAACTAGCTTATTTTACACTGTGTAGCTCTATTTCTAAACTGTTCTTCCTACAGATATTTTATTAACTCAGTGTTAATTACTACATGAGAAAACAGATGATAGTGTTCATTGAAAACCTGCGGTGTTTGATAAAGTCAAACCGAAAATGCTCTTCTCATATGAAAGGAACATGATAATATAACAGGAGATAAAGTCTATTTTACATAAAGTGAAATAATTGATGTACCTTTAGTTCGACATATTTCAATGAGATTCACAATGTTGTCATGATTAAGAAGCTGGAGGATTTTAATTTCTCGTAGCGCTGTGATTGGAAACTAATGGAGGGTGAAAAACACCACATTAGCCTACATACACAACAACACAACATTGTTAAAGTAGCAAATATTTATACCCCTTCTTTCTCATTGTCCATCATCACCTTCTTGAGCGCCACAAGACGTCGTGATCCTTTCCTCTCCTGCGCTTTGAATACCTCACTGTGAAGAAATAAAGCATTCAGTGCTAATCAAACAGGGAATGGCATATCAGGAAACCATTAACCATTGAGTAGCAGCACTCTCTCTTCACAAGTAAATCGGCTGGTGTTAGACAGAGTAAAATAATAAAGGTGCATTAGGGCACAATGCAGCTTAATGGGTTAACTAGACACATGGGCAGCTAATCTGATTAACACAATTGAGTGCCAGCCTATCTCTTCTTGACAAGTAAAATCATCTGGTGTTAGACATCTGGAGTAAAATAATAAAGTAATGTGTAATACAACTTAATGGATTAATGTGTAAACCAGACTATTATCAACCCAGATTTTGTGTATTTTGTTAACTCATTCAGTTACAATGCCACTAATGCACTCTACTCTTATTTTATTGTCTAACATGCAACTATTTTACTCATAAAAGGGTTGAAAATTTAATAGTTTAACCCAATGATTGGCAGCACTCTCCCCCTGATAAGTAAAATAGTCTGGCATTAAACAGAGTAAAATAATAAAGGGTGCATAGGCAGAAGTCTGATTAATCCAGTGAGTGGTAGCACTCTCCTACTGACAAGTAAAATAATAAAGTTGGGCGCATTGCCACTTAAAGGGTTAATGTGTGCTGTATTCTGAAGGTCATGTGTAGGTTGGGAAGTGATAAATTAATGTTGTAAGACAACATGCATTGCTTGAAGATGATTGTCATTGTGACATCCAAAATCTATTCAGATGCAATTTCTTACTCATATGCAAGGATAGGAATTCAATACTGGTCATATCAGCTTTAAAAATAATATAGGCTTGGCATAAAGAAGTCTTATTCCTGTTGATTGTAGTGACTCAGAAAGACACGAGGGATTTGGAGATGAAGTGCAAGACATTTGACATGGAGAAAATGGTTTTGTGCCTTTGGTGAGTTTGTCTCGATAGTCATGTAGTGATAATTCATGCTTGTTTGTTCTGTGCAGCAAATCATTTGAAAGAAATGTATTGAAATAAGCAATTGAAAGCAAATATAATTTGCTTCTTAATCCTTCGATGTTTCCTGTTTTACTGTGACTTTCAATCGAGTAAAGAATATTTATAATCTCATAAGATTACAAAGCTCTATTGGGTCGTTCCAGAGAAGATCCCCCCCCCCCCCACACCAACGGAGTACATTTCTGCCATCTGGAGGGAGGTAACAAAAATCTGTTTCGGATGATAATTAAAGTGTATTAGGACATCTGAAGGGGGTAGGGGGATTAAGTTACAATTTCCTCTTCGGGGGAGGTATGGATATTTTCTGGAATGACCCATTGCCAAGGTGACATTTTTTCTGGATTTTGGCAACATTGACTTGAAAATATGTAATAGCTACAATACTCAATTGGAAAATGTTCACAGTAAATATCAATAATTAGATGTATAATTTCTGATGAAAATTATCAGAAATATTATTTCATCTTCAACTTAAATTCAAGTTGAATATAAAAGTCAGGTTTTCAACTGGTGAATTGTGATAACAGAGCTCAAGCAAGCAACATTTCTGACAACACAGATATATAAATGTGTACATAATTTAGCGGTTACCTATGGCGTTGGCAGTTTGTGCTTGAAATCAAGAATGGCAATATCAATGTAGTTTCACATTTGTGATTTCAAACAAGAACGGCTATCGCTATCAATAACGGCTTCATTACGTTGTAATTTGGCTATCAAAAATGTCGCTTGCTTTTAATATTGGGAAATCCGGAAATTAAACAATTCACAAAATCAGCATCTATGAATATGACCCCATATTCCGTTCAGATCAATAAAAACAGTGCTCATTAAACGATAATCATTAAATGTAAAGCTTGAGGAATAATAAAAGCGTACAGAATCGATGAAATATCTTGAGGAATTGCGTGTAAACAGCTCACAACACACGATGCAACGGAAGCAAGCGTTGTCTTACCCAAATGTTCCTTGACCAATTTTGAGCAATCTCTCGTATTTTGTAACTTCATGGCAGTAAGGAAAGTCGAAGTTACTAATGCTCATTACACACTATATTTTTCCGACGGTTTTCAAGCGAAATTTGGAGTAAAAAACACCAAAATTTCACGAAATTTTCCACAAGTGAAACTTCAAAATTTGAAGAAGAATTCACGTTGCAATGCCCGGATGCAGGTAGTCCATGAGTCCATGCGCGCTTGCTCTGACGCTGATCTCAAAATACAACTAGATTGAGAAACATAAGGTGAACAGTGGATAATGATGTACAATCAATGTAAATAAATATTTTAACCAAAGATGGCTGGTCATGGGATTTGGTTTTTACCGTGTTGTCTCACATCTTTATGGATCTACATTATATCTTTCATCTTCATAATTTACGTTTTATCATCAACATTTCGTTTTTATCTGAAGTTCTTGTGTCTATTGGTTTATTACTTTATCATGATCTTGGTAACTTTTGCAATATTAATGTGGACTCCCGGATCAAAGAACAACCTTCACAAAATGAGCAAGATTTTAAAATGCACTGAATGGCTTTGGGGTATTCAATATACTGTGAAAGGACTGGAGAATTATAAAAAAGATTCAAATTATGTAATTGTTTCAAATCATCAGTCATCATTTGACATGCACGTGCTTGCTAATTTTATGCCTCCCAAAACAACTGTTTTGTCCAAAAAGGAAGTGCTGTATATACCAATGTTTGGGATATTGTTTTGGCTTGCTGGAGTACTTTTTATCGATCGAGAAAATCGTGGCAAGGCAATCAACATGATGAAGAAAGTTGCTGATAAAATTAAACAAGAAAAGGTAACAATTCCTTGATGTATCAATTATGGGGTGTGGGAGGGATGACGTCATAGGATGTAGTCAGTTAGGGGGTGTTGATGTTTACTCTGTCTAATGCCAGATTATTTCACTCATCAAGGGAAAATACTGGTGCTCAATGGGTTGAATGCCAAATAGTTGTGCTGAAGAATACCTTTGTTAGGCCATGGGAATGAAAGTCAATAAGTCATAGATTTGCATCCGGGTGATTTTGAAAAAGCATGCGGCTTTTTTTCATTATTCATTTTTTTACCATTGTTTTGGGTGGTAAATACAGAGATAAAAACACGAATTACCGTTCACGTTGTGGAATTACATATATCACAAGCTCACATTGTCGCAGCACTGAATATCTGTGCCAATTTTGCGATTTCGGTAAATATAATTTGGAATTTCATATGATAATGAATACTGAGGACAAACATACTGCAATATGTTCATTTCATTGCAATCAATACACAATTTTATTGCTAATTTTATTGAGTTTTGCTTTATTTGTGAAAATAATGAATTTATGTAAGCCCTAATCCAGTGCATAACCATAACAATGCATGTCATAACTAACAAGGGAAAAACAAAGGATTCAAATGCATTTTATTCATTTCAGTTCAATGTATGGATATTTCCTGAAGGCACAAGACATACAGGAAGCAAGTTACTTCCATTTAAGAAAGGCGCATTTCATTTAGCCCAACAAACGCAGGTAAGTGGTCAATCAGTTGATAGTCAGTCAGAATTAAGAATGATAATTGAATTAGTTTTTCTTTATTTAGATGCCTGTTCTGCCTGTAGTAGTTTCAAATTATGAAAATGTTGTTAATTTGGGTAAAAGATGGTTTACAACAGGTAAATAAGATATGTTATATAGTTAATAGGGTGAGGTTTCTTATGGACACTTCTCTAATATGGCTACCTCTCCAATACAGACATCTCTCTAATACGGACACCTCTCTAATACAGACATCTCTCTAATACGGACACCTCTCTAATACGGACACCTCTCTAATATAGACATCTCTCTAATATGGACACCTTTCTAATACAGACATCTCTTTAATATGGACACCTCTCTAATACAGACATCTCTCTAATATGGACACTTCTCTAATGCGGACACCTCTCTAATACAGACATCTCTCTAATACAGACATCTCTCTAATATGGACACCTCTCTAATACAGACATCTCTTTAATATGGACACCTCTCTAATACAGACACCTCTCTAATATGGACACTTCTCTAATGTGGACACCTCTCTAATACAGACACCTCTCTAATATGGGCATCTCTCTAATACAGACATCGGCCTAATATGGACACCTCTCTAATACAGACATCTCTCTAATATGAACACCTCTCTAATACAGACACCTCTCTAATATGGACAACTCTCTAATACAGACACTTCTCTAATACAGACATCTCTCTAATACAGACATCTCTATAATACAGATACCTCTCTAATATGGACACCTCTCTAATATGGACACTTCTCTAATACAGATACCTCTCGAGTACAGACACCTCTCTAATATGGACACCTCTCTAATACAGACACCTCTCTAATATGGACACCTCTCTAACACAGACACCTCTCTAATATGGACACCTCTCTAATACAGACACTTCTCTAATACAGAAATCTCTCTAATACAGACACCTCTCTAATATAGACATCTCTCTAATATGGACATCTCTTTAATATGGACACCTCTCTAATACAGACACTTCTCTAATACAGACACCTCTCTAATACAGACAACTCTCTAATACAGATACCTCTCTAATACAGACACCTCTCCAATACAGTACAGACACTTCTAATACAGACACCCTCTAATACAGACACCCTCTATTACAGTTTCCAAAAACCTGACAAAGATAATTTTCCTGTGGAGAGAACCCTATAAAATGGGCACCTATCTAACTCCAGTGTCTGTTTCATACTAGAGGTCCAACTATACTTGTGTAATAAATATGATTTATGATCTATCAACGACAAGCATTGCTTTTATTCTCTTGACATTATTTTCATGTCTGGTTTTCTAGGCTCAATAGATATTACCATTTTACCTGAAGTCTCAACTGAGGGTCTCGAAAGTAGCGACGTAGAGCAATTAACAGAGAAAGTTTATTCAATAATGTGTAATGAATATGAAAAATGTATACCTAGTCAACAGTAGAGTAATGAATGAAATTAACTATTAAGTCACAATTATTATCATTTGTATCTAAGAATGCCTGTGCAAATGTAAAACTACCATCTGTCAGGCAATCACATTGTGCTGGTCTGACAATGATTGCCTCAACTGTTCAAAGCCTTGAAATGCTCTTTAGAAACACACAGTGTTTTTATCTGCAAATCTTTATAACTTTGTTCATCCTCGGATGCAAATGATGATAGTCAATTTTTTTATGGTAATTAGTGGCACTCTCAACAGGGAATTTGCTGTGGAATTTATGTTAAAATTTGGGTTACTTTTGCAATGAAATGGCTGATTTAAAGGGTGTTAGTTAATTTCTATAAAAAATTGAACGCATGACAAAATTGAATATAGAAATATGTTTGACAATTATCCTTGACCATTTAAAACTTTACTATACAAGTACGCTACGCATTTAAACATTCATACCAATTGAAATAATATCAAATGGAAATAGTACAATTGTAATTAATACAAAGTATTTTATGTAACATCTATGTTTGTGTATAGGCTTTGCATAATATTGTACATATTGATAATTCTTTTTTTTTTAATTTACTTATATAAAGATAATTTAACGCAAATTAGGAAATACAGATAATATTACATCTGTGGTTAAAGCGTATTTTGTCTCTGTTTGGTTTGTACGTCTCGTATTACTTCTATTTTCCAAGAATGCGTCCTCATTCTTCAGTCTTGACTATTGAGTTGCAAGTAATATAATATGCACTCTGTCCTCTGCACACTTTAGTAGTACATTTATGTTTATAAACTATTTTAGCGTTACAGGAAGCATAACCATAGAGAAATAACTTCAATCAAGTTACTCCAGTCTAGCTAAGAGTTCGTTAAGAGAATTTGGAATGTTTTTCGTTGTCCCCTGTATTATTTCATCATGGACTAACATTTCTTGAAGAAAAACAAAACGCCCTTCATGTTTTTCATCCTTGCTCCTGTGATAGCTCTCGACCAGTTGTTTCACATGATTCTTTAACTTTGATTTGTCCGCATCCATCATCAGGTCAGGGTTATACTGAATAACCTCGCTGAAGAATCTTGGTAGTGCTGATAAATACAAGTCCGGCATTGGATTTGCCTTGGCACTCTCTTCACAGTCGGATTGTTCCAGTACTGCTTTAATGAGATCTTTTATGGGTAGTTCAATAGTGAATGACTTCGATCGTTTGTGGTGAAGAAATAAGGAGTACAGTCTCATGGTACAACCCAAGGTGGTAGGAGAACTGAAGTCTTTACATTCGCGAAGCATGAACATATTCCACGGATCTTGGATCAGATCTCTAGCATGTTCTTCCAAAGAGAATAATGCTTCCAAACATCTTAAAGAGGTTAGCTTCACAAGCATGTTCACATGAAGTAGTGAATTCTGGAGATAAACTAGAATCATCCGTAAATGAACCTTAGTTAGCTTTCTCTCAGATCTACTATCCTGTGTCGTGTTCCCCTCAGAACTGCTGGCTCCACACGCTGTATTCTCTTCAGAAAGTAGGACAACATTTGAATGAAAAAGCCTACTAGATTCTAAGCACTTTAACACGCTTTCCCAGAATACATTTGCAGCAAATTGAAGCAAAGGGTTTGAACTATGACACAGTAATTGCAAAACAGCTTCGATTTTTATAGTTACAATATTCTTTGTTGAAATACCGAAAACATTTTGCAGATGGAGTAGATGACTGATGGACAGAAGTACTGCCGCAAGGCTTGGGCTTTGTTGGGTACTCTCAAGTTCTGTGAAATTCTGGTAAGAGTGGATTACTTTCTCAAGAAAACTGTTGTACTCTTGATGGTTTAACAAGAATGACAGAACTTTATCAGAGCCATGTTTGGTATCTTGGATAATGCAAGCGTTTAGGAAATTCAAGCATTTGACGCACAGTCTGGATGAGTTTGCGTGATGGGTTAGAAAATTCACAACATGGTAAACCAATTTAATACAGTCTTCATCTAGCGGTTCCGTTACACAAGTTGTTACCAGCAAGCACAGTAACTGCAGGATGCTCTCCATGTTCGGGTTTGGTAAAGGTTCCACTGCTTGGTTCAGGAATAATTTTTGTAAAGCTTGTTTAAGATCTGGAAGAACTTGCTTTACGATCTCAACATTGCAAGATTGCAGTACGTGTTGAATTACTTCTAATAGGGAATTTTGAGCGTGGACATCAGCTGTTCTCAGAATAGAAACCAACATTAACAGTATTTTAGGATTTTCATCCACCTTTCGTCTCGAAAACGTCATTTCTTGCTCCTTAATGTCTGTCTCGCATCCATGGCTGAACCATAACTCCATAATTTCTTTCCGTGGATCAGGATCAAGGTCCTGAAATACAACGGCCCATTCAAGTAGCGCTATATCATGGAAATACAAAACGCTTAAACTTTCCATATTCCTTAGCAGTCCTTCAGCTAGGATTCTTTGGGCGTTGACATGTAGGGGAGAACCATCCAACCTGCCTCTGTGAAGTTCTGTAATATACAGCTGGGTTAAGCAACGCAGAATAACCATTGAGCTGTCAAAGTGACATGTTGGGTTAAGTACTAGGAATGTACTCAGAGCATGCAACAGTTGAGCTCTTGGAGTGAGGCGGTCTCCATTGCTGTAAGCTAAGTTGAAAAGAATTAGTATACACCCTTGGGTAGTTTTAAGTGCCTCGTCTTGCGAGTTATTCTGTTTTAAGACTTGTAGTAATTCTTGTGCTGTTCCGTTTACTCTTTGAAGGGACGAACTTAGTAGATTTTTTGCGTATTCTCGCATGTCATTGGGGAGAAGGAGGCAACATATTGTCTCCAGAAACTCATTGATAGCTTCTTGAACACTAGTTGAAGACATTTTCCCAAAATGCTGCGCTTTTGTTTCCAATGCAATCCGAATGAAACAGGAGGACACAAACTTCTTGGCCATTCCTTTGGCATCTCCTGAACATGTATGCAGAAGCTTGTCCAAAACGTTGAAGAACGTTTCTGGAGCAGACGTGTCGTGGAGGTTTCGTAGATTTGAAATGACATTAGGGATGCAGATCTGATCACATAGATTCAGAAGAGTGTTAAAAAACTCCTCCAGTTCCTGCATAATGGATTCCACTGTGCATGCTAGTAAGATTTCTATGGATGGAGGCTTACTTCTGCCACGTATAACCAACTCAAGGGATTTGTTGACCACTTCTAAGATGGCTGCAATTGTTGATGATTTCAGATCTAAAAATAAAAATATGGTTAAAATAGTCCAGCACCCTTTTTCTTTCGATTTTCTTTTTCTTTGTTCTTTCCCTATTTCTTTTTCCTTTCTTCTCTCCTTCCACTCTTCCCTTTTGACTTTTCTCTTCCATCTTTTCCTTGCAGTGAAAAGAACAAATACTGACCTTTATTCTCAACACGATTCCAATGTCCAGAACTGTGACAAACCTTTTCCAACCTTCTCACAACCAATTCTATCAAGTCGCGTAATTGACCATATGGCACATCACATCCATAATGTCGTCCATCTAACACCACACCTAAACACGAAGTTGCTCGGAGAACAACAGTATCATCACAGGTAGACAACCCCTTTGTGATAACCTCCAAACACTTCTTAAGCACATCCTGACTTGAAATGAAAACCAGCTCCTGTGGACATTTTTCAAAGATATTTCTTAAAACCTCAAAACCTTGTCTCAGCACCTTCATGTTTTTGTTATCAGTTGCTGCTAGCAACGCGGAGAGCATGACGTCAAAACCATAAACCACGTGACCTTTTGTGTACATCTGTTTATTGTCCAAAAATCGGCAAACACTCTGTAGACCAAGAGATAGCAATGTATCACTTTTGGAGTTGAAAACCTCAAAGATAAACCCCGGTAGATCCGTACTGATTATACTCTCATCAAATTCCACCAAATTATTGAGACAACCAATCGCGATAGTTTGCACAAGATCGACAGTGGACAAAAATGCTTTCTTTAAACATGTGATAACTAAGACCTTATTGGTTGTAATTGCCTTACTCATACTACTCGAATTTATCTTTGCAGTCAGGCTCTGTAGCAAGGCAATGGAATTGATTTGAAGCTCTTTTGAAGTAGCCGTAGTCAGCACTTCACAACATTCTCGGAAAACCAAATCCGTTATCTCCCATGGAATTTCAGCACAGTATTCTGGATAACGGTAGAAATGTGTTAGGATAAAGAACAACGAACTTCTTGTGCCTTCGTCAGGGTAGGACGTCCACTTTCCGAGATAGCTTACAACACTGATACGACTTCGTATTAAGTTGCCAGCCAAAGCTGGAATGTTTTGAATAAGCTTTCCCAAGAGATTCAGCTGTGGGGAGACTTTCTTGACATTCTCAGTTGAAACCAACTTCGATGCGAGTTTCTCCACGACTTTCTCCACAAATAGTTCCGACTTCAAAGCACAGCAAAGTTGGTAGAGTATTTCAACCACAGTAATATGCTGAGTTAGTTTACCGTCCTCATTCTCCATAAGTTCCCACAGGCATTTCAACAAATGTGATAAAACATTTTCATTTTCAGCTAAAAGTGTGAGCACAGCTCCGTTTGAAACAAGTTTCAGCAGTTCTTGAAGTGTTTTCGTTTTTCTGATTGACGGTTCATTTTTGTTTTCGATTATCTCAACTAGGCAAGCGACGCAGACCAGTGTGAATTGACTACCTTTTAACAGCCACTGTTTCGCGTGGCTTAAATGATTTGGAGTGAAGAACGATAGACAGCCAGTGTTCATGACCGTGCTTGACATTTTTCGAGTTTTTTTTTGGCAAGCTAAGAAACTTGAATCTTGGGCCTTTGCTAAGCAATCACTGACATTAGAAATCCTAAAACAACAATTCATAAACTCATTTCTAAACGCAAACGAAATTCATTAATAAGCACAAGTGAAATTGCGCCATATAATGCATTGTCTTGAATATATAAAGCGCTCTGGTCGAAAAACTCGACTGGCGCCTCGTGTTTTTAATTATCGATTTCATTTTTCGATTTCAAGTCACTGGCTTGATAAATAATAATAGTTTTTTTATGAAAAAGACATGATCAAATAGCTTACTATATCAAAACGATTATTCACACATTCGCCACAATTTAATTTACGTATGAAATTAAAATGCGCTGGTAAATTAATCAACCAAAAATAAAATTTGATCGAAAAGACAAGACGGTGAAGACACCGTATATTGACTTTTTTTTGTTAGTTTTCTCGTGAAAAATACTTATTTTCTGCACTTAAATGCTACAATATGCTAAAATACATACAGATATATGGTAGTATCATAATTTAAACCTTTATACTTACCTGAAATTATAAAAATTTCGGTTAAACAGCTATTTTTTTCAAGAAAAGAAAATATTTAAAAAATGTAAAACACGAGCCAGTATATTTTATATCAGCGATTCAGCGGACAATGAATACAAAATATTACCGTCTAGCGCTTTCGTTTTCGATTTGTTGTTGTTTATAATACATGTGTTTTGTTGTGGCTTTATAGTTTGTAGTTAAAACTGTTTTTTGTTGTGTAAAGTTTTAGCAAGCACTGTGGTTTATTGAAGAATGAGTGAAGCATTTCGTTGCGTGTTTGGTCCTCGTTTGTATCGCATCTACAGTAGCAATGGACGACAGGTGAGGGATGTCATCATGTCAGGATGTGCTATTTTTATGAAATTCTTCAAACTCTCTGCACGTAATTGTTTTGTAGGAAACACCGCTTTGTTTATTTGGAAATTTCGATCCTTATCATTTGCCCCTGGATTACGGATCCAAAGCTTTGCTAGGTAGTTAGAGAGTCTACTTTGTCGACATCTGTGCATTTTATTCTTTTTGTTAATAGCATCATTTGTACCAGCCTAGCTTGCCAGAAAAAGTCGGTGACAAAATTATTGATGTGGTAAATAAGACCTCTTATGTTTGTCCTTTTTTTAATTGGTCAGTAAAAGATTGAGTATGAAAATGAATTTTATTTATCTTTTATAGGCATCCTACATGTATTCCTTGTCTGTTGTGGCTTCTCCAATCATAGGATATTTTATGATTAAAAGAGGTTGATTAAATATCTCATTATTTTATGTTAGATTACAGGAGAAAGAGTTTTTGTAGTTGTGATTGCTGTTGTTGTTGTTGTTGTTGTTGTTGTTGTTGTTGTTGTTGTTGTTGTTGCTGTTGCTGTTGTTGTTGTTGTTTTTGTTGTTGTTGTTGTTGTTGCTGTTGTTGTTGTTGTTGTTGTTGTTGTTGTTGTTGTTGTTGTTGGTGGTGGTGGTGGTGCTACTGCTGTTGTTGTTGTTGTTGCTGTTGCTGTGGTTGTTGTTGTGGTTGTTGTTGTTGTTATTGTTGTTGCTGTTGTTGTTGGATGCTTTTTCTGTTAGATGCATATTATACAAATAATGAATGTTTATGAGTGCAATGGTAAGAATATTTTCATGAGGTGAAAGATGGAATGTTCCATTCAACGAGGCGACAGCCGAGTTGAATGGAACATTCCATCTTTCACCGAATGAAAATATTCTTACCATTGCACGAAGAAACATTCATTATTTGTTTTATATAATACCAAAATAGACTAATAGATTCGTATGAGAAGCATTTTGAGGGATGCGATTTATCGAAAGAGTGCAATTGTACCATACGTTTTATTCCTCCATTGCACTCTTGGGAAATGGAATTTTCTATTCAATATCATGTGACCATAAACAGCCAATTAAATGATTAGAATTTAATAAGGTATTATATAAAGTTCCATATTGTTGTATTATTTTTCTATAATGTATTATTTGCATTACATGAAAGTGATATATCAGTTCTGGGTTTGTTTTTTTGTAGGATTTTTTACAATGTCTGGTATTTTTAGTCTTGCACATTTTGGGATGACTTGTTTCTTTATTTTGGCTGGTTCATATTGCATACGAGGTGTCTAATTTGTTTATTAACACATTTTTTGTTAAAATAATTCATTACATACACTGTAATTTCTGTATAATAATATCTTATAATATTTTGACAACTCAAGGTTATGGAAGACTCACAAATCTAGAGTACAGAAAATTTCTGAGAGTTTTAATGGAAGTACAAAAATCCAACCATCAACATACTGCAAGAGTATGATTTTTTGTGTTTATTCTTCAAATTCATGTCTACTATCTGCATACTAGAATTGTGTTCATTCATATATTGAATTTTACTTTTCAGCAACAACTAGCTCAATATGATTTCCAGTTCAGTTCATGGCCAGTTGACTTTCACTGGAATGAATCAGAAGACAGCCTTGATAGAAAGAAATTTGAGAAGATCTACGATAGAGGCGAGGCATCCAGTAGTTTTGTTGGACGTGTGTTCTCGTTGCCTGGTAGAATTGCAAGGTACAGATCAATAGAATATGACTGCAAATTAAATTAACCAACCTTTTTCCAAAGTGTGTATAATAAAATATATATATTTATTTGTAAAATGATTAAGAAATATTCTGTGTTTTAGATATGTGGTCGCTCATTATTTTGCACAGCCATTGATGTACCCTGGTTCTGTGAGGTTGTTACAAAGTGCAATGGGTAAGCCATATTTAAGCTTTGACTATTTATTTCTTGTTTAAAATATAACTTAGGTTTTCAACTCAGTCCTACCTATTTTTCTCTTTCAAGGGCAAGCTTTGAATGATGGTCGATCCAATTTAGTGTCTAAGGTAATTGTTTACTAGAGTTTTGTGGCAGTAAGTAAGACCATATTGATGTTTGAAACTGTTGATGTTTTATTCAGGATGGTTGGAGAGCAAAGTTGAAAGCAAGAGATGAGAATGAAATAGACACAATGTTCATTGATAGACGCACATCTGAGAATGAAAATGGACAAATTTTGGTAGGTATAGAAATCACCATTGTGATTGTTGAAGACTGTGATTGGTAATCACTAAGATGTGAATTTAAAATAAATATAAAATTAATATCATAAAAAAGTTTAAAAATTTAATATTATAATTTCAAAAATTTATTAATTAATAATTAATTAATTAATTTACTAATTAATTATTAATTTACTCATTAATTAATTGTTAATAATTAATTAATTAATTAGAATTTACTAAATTTGAATTAATTACAATTAATTTTTAATTTTTTAAATCAAATTTTATATTATAATTTATTATGTAAATTTAATATAGGTTATAGGATGTGAAGGGAATGCAGCATTTTATGAAGTAGGAACAATTTACACACCTTTAAATGGTAAATACACTGATCAAAAATAAGCCACATAACCTATTACTAACCTGCAATCAGGCATTCTTACCTATTGCATTGCGTAAACTTGCATCATGCATGGTTGTGGTCAATTGAATGCAACGTGAATGTGTTGGGAAGAATGCTGTCATAAACATGCTCCAGATTTGGCTAGAACTTAATTCTGACTCACTTTAATGTTTTAGCTGGATACTCTGTGCTAGGCTGGAATCATCCTGGATTTGCTGGCAGTAGTGTAAGAATAATTTTCACACAATTAGCATGGCCAGTTTCTCTTAATCGGTGAAGGTTTTTTTCTTACTTGATGAATATTACCAACTGTAGGGTTTACCTTATCCTGCTGCAGAACAGAATGCTATCGACGTGGTTATCAAGTATGCAATGAATAGACTTGGGTTTCCCATCGAAAATATTGTCATCTTTTCTTGGTCTATAGGTAACGTAGATGTGTATAATAGATAAATATGTATTCATACTGTATGTATTGCAAGGTCATGAATAGTTATTTTGAGGTCAGATCAATGACTCTCATCTGCTGATTCACTCATGAGTAATAAGTTCCTTGTATGTTTGCATGGCGATAAAACATATAATAGTTTTGTTTGTGGAAACACCACATAAATTTATTACTGCAAAGCTTTCGATCCGTAAGCCCGGATCTTCATCAGTGCTAATAATATGGAACAAGTCGCATATTATTAGCACTGATGAAGATCTGGGCTTATGGATCGAAAGCTTTGCAGTAATAAATTTATGTGGTGTTTCCACAAACAAAACTATTATATCACTTATGAGTATTTAAGAAATGTTTGTTTAACAGGTGGCTACAGTGCTACGTGGGCTGCAATGATGTACCCAGAAATTAAAGGACTTGTACGTATGAACTAGGTTTTTTGAATTACTACAGAGTAGTACAGAAAAATTCTGTGTTTCAACATACTTTTTTACTTTCAGATATTGGATGCAACATTTGACAGTATAACTCCTTTAGCTGTTGAAAGAATGCCTGAAATAATGTGTAAGATTCATTCCACTATATTAAAAAATAGAATATGGAGTAAGGTGCTTTTTGAAATAAGTAGGTGGGTATTTGGTGGGTGTCTGCCCATGAAATTTAGACTATATCTTCTGAAGTGGTTTTTCCAGCTTTCCATCTTCACTGAGACCGGAATGGATTTACTGGAGGGGGGGGGGTGTATGCACCGCCTACCAGATCGTGATGGATCCATCCCACTGGGAGGTAACCTGGGACCCCTCCCCACAGTTGAATTCTTTCAAAAGGCTTCCTACGCAAAGTTATATTGGGAACCCTGTAAATATCGTAATTTACGTTACGTGGATAGCGTACCCGATGCATTGAATAAATCCATTCATTCCTTTTAGCTAGCTTAACAGAAGGTGTAGTGAAAGACTATTTTCCCTTGTTTAATCACGAACATTTAACCAGGTAAACCATGAAGAAGAAAGTACAGGTTTTATTTTACTATAATAGAGATCCAGTAAAAAGCAACTTGATGAAATAACAGCATTGTAACTACTTGGTGACAAGCATGCTACAAGCCTGTTGTGATCAAAACTTGTTGACAAGTTGTGAGATTTTTACGCGTGCAAACTAACACAATTTCCCCCTGTAGGTATTCAGGACCAGTTCTCCTTTACCGACGAACAAGAGATGAAATGATAAGTGTTGTGTACGTTCTATTAAACATTCTTCTTAAGCCAAAATTTATGATTTCATGTCCAGTTTGAACCTGGTTAGTTCACGTGATTGTTTCTTGTGTTTTACTGTAGTGCGAATGATATCACTACAAACCGTGGCAACTATTTATTAACGGAGTTGTTAAAGTCGAGGTAGTGTATTGCTGTAAATTCCTTTTTGGCATCTGTACTCTTTCAGTTCCAACACTATATTTCTGTCCGCCTTCCTTCAGATATCCTAATCTCATATCGAGTTCCTCACTTGAACACCTGAAAACGTACATGGCAGCCGAAGACACCTTAAATAAAGGTTAGTTTCCTACTGAACTAAAGTATCTTTATATTTATACTGGATAACTTTTATTCAGTATAAATATATATGTAATTCTATCAAAACTGAAGCGAACCTGGAAGGTGTAACCTCGTAATGTTTTCATCTATGACATAAAATATACCAAATATGTGACTTTCATATGATCATAAAACGTGGTTCTCTTTTACAAGATAACCCATGGGCTTGCACACATAAATGCATCTCTCCTTCCAACCATCCACACCTCCAGACAAACTAGATCTTCCACCAGTACTTCCACCAAATATGTCATCCCAAAATGCAAGACATCCACCTATCAAAGATCCTTCTTTATCCGATCAACTCGGATCTGTAACCTTCTCGCCGATCAACTAAAACTGGACACATGTGGCCTCTCTACATTTAAAACTGTCATTTTTAATTATTACTCTATGTCATTAAGAACTTGTTACAATGTCAACGATCCTCGTTCGTACAAAACCATTTGTCCAAAGTGTAACTCTGTTCGTAGTCTAAGTGTTCCAATAACGTGCTGCATGTAAAAGACGTATTGTTGTTATTTTCATATGTTGCTTGTTATTAGTTGTTTATTGTATTTGTTAAATTTGTAATATTAGTTTTAATGTTAGTTTTATGGGGCGGTAGTAATTGGCTAAGCGCTGCTACGGACTCCCTGTCATTAATTGTATTATAGTTATTTACAAGGCAAAGCTAATAAATTAAATTAAATTAAATTAAAACGTGCCGACCCTAAAACTAGAAAAATTTTCTGGGGCACCATGCCCCCGGATGGCCGGACCTCCTAGTTTGTTCTGTACAATGTTCTGTATATATATTTGACAATTGGACCCCTCCTCCACACTCATTTGGGGCTGGCTACACCCCTCTATTCAACGTCTGTCGGAGAAAAATACACGCACTAACGATTGTGTTCCTGTATATTTTTAGACGCCATTAAAAGATTACTTGAGGTGAACGACGGCAAATGTGAGAAGTTACTTCGCACACATCAGGACGAGAACGGCAAACATTTTCCTTGTGATATAGGTACAATAATAGATGACCCCAGCTATCGAGTATTTTTTAATCTAGACAAGAAAGACAAAATCTATCATTATATAGCTTAAAAAAAACATCCTTAAATTAGTTAAATTGCAAAGTTTGGTTGCGAAATGTTGTAAAATACGAAAAATATAGCCCTGTGAAATTAGCAAATTTTGAATAATTTAGTATTACGCGCAGAAAAATGCACCACTTTTCAGCCGAAAGATTTCGTCCTTCTTGTCTGGATCAAAATTTAGTCTATAGCGCATGGAATCATCCATTATACTCGTATTTTTCATGGAGTTGAATCCCTCTTAATCCAGCACAGTTCGAGTAAAATAATTGTTCATTTTATGCAGTACTTGTGTCAGTATTATAGTTCGAGTAATCTGTTCCATAAAACTTAACGTTATTCAGTAGAAGTATACAGTATACTGAGACTGTGAGTTATAAATTATCAGATCATTTTATTTATTTTACAATCTTTGTTACACGACCGGTTTAACCCACAGTGCTAGTTGCTCATTTACGGGTAACCTGCTAATGCAATACTGAAATATAGGTTAACACAGTGGATATATCGCTTCAAAATCTCTGAGACGTTTGATTTAATCTATCTATCCATCTAGCAAATATGTGAACAAGCTAAACTATTATACCTATACAACTATATTATACCTATAAACTTTATCTATATTATACTGTACCTATAAACTTTATAAACTTTATCTTTTAAACTACATGTATATTATACCTATAAACTTTATCTATATTATACCTATAAACTTTATCTATAAACTTTATCTTTTAAACTATATTATACCTATAAACTTTATCTATATTATACCTATAAACTTTATCTATATTATACCTATAAACTTTATCTATAAACTTTATCTTTTAAACTATATTATACCTATAAACTTTATCCTGATGATGACTGAAATATAGTCGAAACGTAGATAAATAAAAATATTATACCTATACAACCGCTTTGTGAATGTAGTTGTAGGTAGCTGCCTTGCTGGTAGAGAATGCTCTTGCATGAGTTCATTATTAAAGATTTTATTTTCTGTTTAGGGGAAAATTTTGATGATGATGACAAAGCAAAAATGTTAATCTATCTGGTAAGTTGTGAGTGTTGTATCTATTTTTATCTTCTTGATAGAGTTGCATGGATAGGGCTGTCCAGTATAAATAAAGTTTGTTTGGGTTTCCTCCTGTAGTAACACTGCATCAATAACCATAAGAGATGATTCTTACTGGACCTCTAGGAAGAACAGTTTTATAACTGATAGAGCTATCCGGTATAAATAAAGTTAGTTTAGTTTAGGTTTCCTCCTGTAGTAACACTGGATCAATAAGAGATGATTCTTACTGGACCTCTAGGAAGAACAGTTTTATAACTGATAGAGCTATCCGGTATATAAATAAAGTTAGTTTAGTTTAGGTTTCCTCCTGGGGCCTGTTGTTCAAAGGTGGGTTAATGCTAACCCTGGGTTAAAATTTAACCTGCTGTTTTATAGTTTGTGTACTTCTATACATCTGTGTATTTAGTCAAATCTTCAGAGAACTAAACTCCTATCAATCCAGACAAGATCTCTGAAGAAATATTTCCAAATTTATAGACAAGCTGTTTATAGGAAGTTTGCTTCGAATTTTAGGTTAACCAAGGGTTAAACTAACCCAGCTTTGAACAACCGGCCCCTGTAGTATACCACTGGATCAATAAAGGATGGCTCTTACTGGACCTCTAGAGAGAACAGTCCAGCCAGCTCTCATAAGCTCTCGTGCAACTCTTGTTCTTGTTTGAGCAGGACCTGCTACGAGATTTAAGGAAACTCTCGCGCTTGCCAACTCTCATCAACGTTCATCTTCGCTTGACCAGGGAAAGCATTCAGAACGAATATTTTAAAATATTTTTATATTTGTTTTGAATCAAGGTATCTCGCTACATGGTCGATGTTGAGACCACACATTGCACTGCTCTGCCGACAAGAATATTTCAAGTTCCACAAATTGTTTAAGGGTAAAAATTAACATAAACAGTTTTAATACAATTTAAATACATGTAAGCCTGCCATTCACTTTAACTCCGATAACAGAAAAGTTATTCAAAAACAGGAAGGTTAGATGTCAGCCAAATTTTATTTATAACATGAACAATAAAGTATTAATCAGCAAAACGATAAAAACAATATTAAACTTCAGACGTAAAACCTGTAACCTTTAGCTTTTTCAATCAAGATATCATTTTGTTGTACTTCATACAAATTATCCACAGCTGTATCACATTCACCGAACGCTAAATTACCCTCACAACATAACTGAAATACAAGAATAATTTGAAACAGTTTAAAATAGAAATAGCAATGCTGATTTGAAATAGCAATGCTGTTTCAACAACTTGTTATCAGGATGTGTTCACACTAGCTGCATGCTTGTTCCCAGCTTGTTGACAAGCTTGCTACAAGGACATGAAGGTTGTTGACTCATCAGACTTGTTCTACAAGTTGTTCCGACAACTTGTTATCGTCCTGCAATTCAACAACTTGATAACAACACTGTTACAACTTGTTGACAAGCTTACTACAAGTTTGTTGCGAACACATCTTGTTAACTCATCTTGTTGACAAGAATAGATGGGAGATTTTTACGTATGTACAATAAGCTGTCGTTTTTCTCAGCACGGCAATGGCTCGTGTAATACCCTGCACAGATTTGGGTGTCGATCCTAATGCAAATGATTTCAAAGATTCGACACATGATAAGATCGATGTTTGCACTATATGATTGCTCCAAAAAGGCCCTACATCTAATCAAAGCTGCTCTTTGCGGCTGCGATGAAGATTACGTGACATTCAATAATTTCAATCAACATTCAATGAAGTGGATACCAAATTCTCAACAAGCCACGTGATTAGTTGACATACCTAAATGTATGTCATAAATTACCACTTATGTTTGCAGTTCCTTTTGTAGTTTTGTACCAGAGCCAGCAGCCACGATATTAGATAAACAGGTTATGTGTAGAAATATAATTAGTTTGTTTTTGTGCCTTTACTACATTCATTTATTAGCATATAAATGATATGTTCCACATAAACAAAACAATTATATGTTACTGCTGGTGTTATGAATAGACGTCAAGACTCCAGGGTCAGGTAAACAGGTAGTATGCATGGTTGCATGTGTGCATAAACGGTGACGTACGGAATATCTTAAGGGGGGGGTACACATGGATTGATGGCCATTTTTGAAATGGCTGTAATTTTAAAGATATTCACCAGAGTTATGACAAACTATATATCAGTAGAAAGCTTATGACCTATAGAAACTAAAAATACTAATCACTAGTACCTAACGTCCTTTGTAACCTGACACCAGGCCGGCAATCACACCACATGCTGTGCAAAACTAGGGTGAATTTGAGAAAAGATATCTGCTTATAAATTGCTTGGAATTTTACGAAATTTTATCAGTAAGTAGTATAAGCATCATTATCTTAAATGAGCATCGAACTTTTTTGTATGATGAATCTAGTGGTCACAGCAGAGGTACAAAGTTAACATAGGTTTTTTCGATAATATTTTTTGTCATAAAATGTATTCCAAACAAGATACAGAAATTTCCTATGCTTAATTAAGACAGCTCTAATAAAAGAATAAGCCCTGAAAATTTCAGGACAATTGGTTAAATACATCATGAGATATCTTTTCTCAAAGACGGAAAATGTACATTCCGAGAAAACAAGTGTTAAAGTTCTTAAACAACTGTTCGAGCTGTTCCTGACAGGTTTCAGGGACTTTAGCCTAATTTTTTGTCATTAGAAGTACTTTTAGCACTTCATAAGCCTCCAGCCTCATAGGTTGTCCCTTCTGCTTCTCATAGAGCTTCGTCTCTCGGTTTTCTTTTGGAGCTGCTGCACCTGTCGACGTCTGTTGTTTTTTCAGATGTCTGGCAGTTAGACTTTCTGACCTGTTTCTTGTCTTTTAAGAGCAAACTTAGTTTTTCCTGCAGTTTGATATTTGGTTTAAAAGATGTTCCTGTGTGTTAACTTAAATGACTCTATTGGTATAGCTAAATTTTCCATAGTTTTCTTTACCGAACCCTCTTGCTGGTAACAAGGATGTTTAAAGATGAACACTCCACTCATCGTGCTTACCAAAGGAACATGCAGACCAACATTTACCACAGTTTTTTGTATATGTGAATCAATTTTCAATACCAAATTACATGATTTTGTAAGATAACATTGTCTGTAACTGTATTCTTGTGCTATTGCTGCAAGCGGTACACTCGGTAACCGTATTTGGCCCAAAACAAGCTCTCAAACTTGGTACAACTTGACATGTAATTACAGTACCTAAAATGCAGTACAGA